TTTTTGGTTGCAGCCATCATTGTTGTTTGGCGGGCCCAGGCTGGGGATTCGAACCTGCCACCTTAGGTGTATGTGGCTGGCGCCTTAGCCAGTTGAGCCACAGGCGCAGAGCCTTTGTGTTTTTTTCTTCTGGGGGGTGTTAGTGCAGGGAAAACTGGGGCATGATGGAGGGAATCCTCAGCACAGCAGCTGGGGTGTGGGAAGTTGCTGCATGCTGCATGGCCACTGAGAAGAATGGCATTGCTTCTTCAGGTGTTTAGAAGAAGTTGCTCCTTCGTTGGATGTCTCTGAAAACCAGTTCTGGGTCTTGGTAGTAATATCACTCTTTGTGATTAGTGGTTCACTTGGGTTTTGCCACTGGGGTGTTGTCCACTAGGGTGTTTCCAGATTCCTTCAGCTTATCTGGGATGCACTGCATCGTGCTGGAGGTGTCTGGGGCCATCTGGATGAGGGCTGGGCCTTCTAAAACCATTGAGAGAACCACCACCAGGATGGGGAACAACAGAACAAACCTGGTGGTGATGCCAGAGGGGCACTTTTCATTGGTCTTGAGACAGGAAGGGTGCTCAAATGCTATTCTGTCACTGGGGAGCTAGGAGCAAATGCATCCCAGTGGAGATAATCATTAACAGTATGGGCCAGTTGCTATTAGGTGTTGAGTTTTTTTTAATTGAGGCAGTCTCACTATATCACCCTTGGTAGAGTGCAGTGGCATCACAGTTCACAGCAACCTTCAACTCTTGGGCTTAAGTGATTCTTTTGCTTCAGCCTTCCAAATAGCTGGGACTACAGGTGCCTGGCACAACACCCAACTATTTTTTGGTTGTAGTTGTTTGGCAGACCCAGGCTGGATTCGAACCTGCTAGCTCCTGTGTGTGTGGCTGGTGCCCTAGCTGCTGAGCCACAGGCATGGAACCCCCTAACATCTTTTTTTTTTTGGCCAGGGCTGGGTTTGAACCTGCCACCTCTGGCATATGGGGCCAGTGCCCTACTCCTTGAGCCACAGGTGCTGCTCCCAACAACATTTTTTATTTTAAAGAGGAACCTCTCTTAAAACCACTCATGTGCCTTACCTGTGCTGGTTTTTGTAGCTGCTTTTTAACGCTGTGGTTCACAACCCGTAGGCTGCAAATCAACTGGTTTGTGATCTGTTAGGAAGTGGGCTGCATAGCATCACTGCTTGAGATCTGCCACTTCATCCCCATGCCCTGGTCCTAAGAAAAGTTGTCTTCCATAAAACTGGTCCCTGGTTCCAGAGGAGATCTGTTCTGTGGCTTGTTAGAAACTGGACCACACAGCAGGAGGTGAGCCAGTGGTGAGCAAGGGAAACTGCATCTGTATTTACATCTCCTCCCCGTCACATCACTGAGCTACATTTACTGTCTCCTGACCTCTGTCTCCCAAGAAACCAGCCAAAAATGTTAGAGACTGCTGCTTTAAAGGTATCTGCTGTGCAAGGAAGAGTTAACTGTGGCCTCACCTGAAGAGAACAATTAGTTTCCTGTGAAATTCTTAAAAAATCAGTTTCCTGTGAAATTCTTAAAAAAATCTAATGTTAGACACTAGATATACATATTAACTACCAAATTTATTTCTTATGCAAGGCACTTAGGTTAAAAATACGCCTTTTTTGTGGGAGGATACAGGGTTTCTGTCCTCTAGGTCAGAACGTAGTGGCCTGATTATTGCTTACTATGATCCTGAACTCGTGGGCTCAAGTGCAACCCTGATGTTAGCTTCCTGAGTTAATGGGACTACAGGCAACCATGTATACCTAATTTTATTTTTTGAGACAGTTTTTTTTTTTTTTAAGATGGAGCCTAAAGCTATCCCCCTGGTAGAGTGCCGTGGCATCACGCTCACAGCAACCTCAAACTCCTGGGCTCAAGTGAGTCTCCTGCCTCAGCCTCCCAAGTAACTGGTACTACAGGAGCCCGCCACAACACCTGGCTAGTTTTTGGTTGTAGTTATTGTTTGGCAGGCCCAGGCTGGATTCAAACCTGCCAGCACTGGTGTATGTGGCTGGCGCCTTAGCTGCTTGAGCTATGCCTTGAGCTGAGCCTAGATAATTCTTTTTTTTTTTTTTTTGAGACAGAGCCTCAAGCTGTCCCCCTGGGTAGAGTGCCATGGCATCACAGCTCACAGCAACCTCCAACTCCTGGGCTCAAGCGAGTCTTCTGCCTCAGCTTCCCAAGTAGCTGGGACCACAGGTGCTCGCCACAACGCCCCGGCTATTTTTTTGATTGCAGCCGTCATTGGCGGGCCGGGCTGGATTCAAACCCGCCACCTTAGGTGTATGTGGCTGGCGCCTTAGCCACTTGAGCCACAGGTGCCGAGCCGATCATGCTTTTTAATGGGGTAACCTTATGTGAAAGTAGATCATGACAGTGGTTTGCTTTGCTGGGAAATGTTGCCAGAGTCTCAAAGAAGAAGGTACACCTGTGGACATTCTGGGGCAGGTTGATTTTTTCAAAGTGTCCAGAGCTAAGGATATGCTGGGGCTTAGTGTGAGCAAATAATCAGAATCAGAATGTGCTGGGGCTGAGTGTGAGCAAATAATGTTGCTAGGATTGTGGGATATGTGAGGAGAGGATGGGTTGTGGGGTTACAGGCCAGGCTACAAGAAGAGTTTAGATATCCTTAGAAGTGACAGTCTAGCCAAGCAGTTACTCCTGTAATCTTAATACTCTGGGAGGCCACAGCAGGAGGATTGCTTGAGCTCAGGAGTTTAAAACCAGCTTGAGCAGAAGTGAGACCCCCCCCCCAATCTCTACTAAAAATACAAAAATTAGTTGGGTGTTGTGGTGGGCTGCTGTGGTCCCAGCTACAGGTGAGGCTGAGGTAGGATTGCCTAAACACAGGAGTTTGAAGTTGCTATGAACTAGGTTGACACCATGGCACTCCAGTCTAGGGCAACAGTAAGATTCAAAAACTATAAAAAGTGAGAGTCGTTTGCCATGATCAGGTTAGATTACTCTGGTGCTTGGAGCTAAACTAGAGCTTAGCAAGGACCCTAGAAGGCTTGTTGCATGTAAGATGTTACTAGATTTCAACCCCCTGTGAGCAGTGACTTTGGAAAGTGGTGGTCTGATTTCCTAAGGATGGCTACTGGCCCTCATTGTGTTCTGCCTGTTGCTTTGTGAACTCTTTCTACCTTTAAGACTAGAAGGGGCTGGATGCAATGTCTTGTAAAGATGTAGCCCTAGGATCCTAGTTCCCCAAATAGCCTCTGCAAAGATCCCTTAAGTTCTATTTCCTGGAGAGAAATACTCATATTTCTCTTGTAAGCAAAAAGTGCATCAAGAAAAGAAATAGTTGGCTCGGCGCCTGTGGCTCAAGGGGCTAAGGCACCAGCCACACACACCTAAGGTGGCAGGTTTGAATCCAGCCCGGGCCCACCAAACAACAATGACAGCTGCAACCAAAAAATAGCCAGGTGTTGTGGTGGGCACCTGTGGTCTCAGCTACTTAGGAGCCTGAGGCAGGAGACTCACTTGAGCCCAGGAGTTGGAGGTTGTTGTGAGCTGTGATGCCATAGCACTCTACCCAGGCGGACAGCTTAAGGCTCTGTCTCAAAAAAAAAAAAAAAAAGAAAAGAAAAGAAAAAGTTACCAGAACTTATTTCCTGAAAATTTGCTTTTGTGGTTTCCATGTGACCTATAACCCTTCCTCCAGCGGGTAGGGTGGAGCAGAGGAAGGAAACGTTTTAAGCCTGCTAATGTGCTAGTGCCAGAAGGAACCCTAGAATTACAATTGGTGTCTTGTACTCTTCTGTCCTCTGCTTAAATACCATTCTAATGTCTCCCTCTGAAAATTGCTCTAATTTTTCATTTTCTCCCCCTATGTTAAAAATGAAAGGTAGAGAATCTGTGTAGACAAGCTTGTTTCTAATGCCTCTGACAAATCTGGCTCCCCACAGTTTCAGGCCCCTTTGTATATGCCTTTTTTAACCTTTACACCATGGCCATAGGGCTGTTACCTGTAATCTCAAGCACCACAGACCTTTTGGAGTGGCACTGCAGGAACCACCAAAAGTTGAATTAAGGGGGAATAGTCCATGTGACTATAAGGCAGGAAGAGTGAAGCAGCATTTGAGCCCCCAGGAATGGTAAAATTGGGAGGAACATCACCTGAGCCTGTGCAGCCTTTGGAAAAGCTCTGCACATGCTTTCATGGTGGAAGTAGGAAAAACACACAGTAAAAGCAGACTTTTCATATATTGTGTATATATATAAAAAAAGATTCCAGGATGTTTTGGCTGGAGTTGCTAAGGGTTGAGTGTAGGACCATTTGGGTAGGAAGATGCCTCAGCTCTACTCCAGGTCAGCCACCAGGTAGGGCTGGGTCTCCCTTAGGGCCTGGAGGAGCAAGTCTTTGCAGGTCAGGTTCCAGGATGGAGCAAAGCTGAAGAGCTTCCTCATCCTCAGTGGATTGGTGGCCTCTGCCCGCACTGCCTGGTACTGCTCGTCATTCAGGATCTTCCCATGCAGCGCATCCAGCACCCCATCAACATCTGTTACACGTGTGATGAGTGCTGCTCGGTGCTGGTCCACAAAGTGCAGTGCTGAGAGTGGGAGGGAGAAGAACAACTGAGTCAGCACCCAGGGTGGGTGTGGAATACAGCTTTGTTCAGAAAATGCTCTTTAAACCTAAGGGCTCAAAGAATGCAGTGGGCTGCACCAGATCCAGTGGGATGAGTCTTAACTTTGTCTCTTGTCCCCTGCCCCCAGCCAGGCTCTGTGCCCAGGGAGGGGTGTGGATGGCTCCTACAGCCAGCCCAGCCTTGCTTTGGCTGTGGGACAACAGGTAGACTGCAGGGGTGTTGTGGGGCTGAAGAGGTCCCAGGCAGGCAAGGTTGGGTGTGGAGGCCTCACCTGGTTTGGCTGTTATCTGAGAAGGGGCCTTGCTCCCAGCTGGTGCAACTCCAGGGCCTGTAAGAAAATGAGTCAAGCGGTCCCCTTCCCCCTCCTTCCTTACCTCCAGGCTCTCTGGAGGGTGTGTGTGTGGGGTCCCCTTGGCCAAATGCAGAAAGCTTTGTCAGCAGAGCTTTGTTTTAGAGGGTAGGGGGGACAGGAAGCAGAAGGACCCGAGACATGAACTTTCTGGGGGAGGAAAAAATGGGTAGATGAGGGGACATGGGGGAGCTCACCCTTGAGTGTCCCCTCATGGAGCCGGTCAGCCATCTCTTGCAAGCCCATGTCCCGAAGCACCGTCACCGTAATCTCGGCTCCATACCCTTCCAGATAGAAGCTGACGAGCTTGTCGGTGAGGTCCACGGCGTCCATGGTCTCCAGCTTCCCCCGAGGGATGGGCCTGTAGCCATCGCGCAGCTGTACTGACTGTAGCTTCAGCTTGAACTTCTTGAGCTCGTCGGCGGTCAGGTTCTCCAGCGCCTCCAGGATGGCGTCTCGCCTGCACCCCATGGCTCCCGGGTCTCCCGCCGCCGCTGCCGCCTATCACCCTCGCTGCCTGCAGCCGACCAGGAAGTCTGCTACCGGGCGGGTCCTGAGACTCCCCGCCTTCCCCCGACTCTCGTCTAACTCCTCTCGATTAACTCTCCGCCTCAGCCCGTTCCCGCCCACTGTGGCCTCTGGACTTGGGTGGTGGGGGGATGCCAGGATTGTGTCCTGCAAGCTCTGAAAGTGGGACCTGGAGATGGGGCATAGAGTGGCTCCTGGGTTTTGGGGCTGGCACCAGCTAGCACAGACCAGGAACCTGAACTTGCTCTGGATTTATTGGAGCACCAAGGCTTAAAATGTTGGAGTTCTAGAACCCTGAGATCTCTATGTTTCCCTGAACCTTAGGATCCTCTCACATATGTCACAGAATTTTAGATTCATAACAGCTGGAATCATGAAGCTTCCCCAAATCCACATACTGGGGAGAAATGAGGTGTAAAAATGTGTGAGTCACCTTATCTTTCTGAGTCTCAGTTTTGTTATCTGTAAAATGGAGGTAATAACTTTCAGCCACTTGGTTTATTCCAACATAACAGAGACAATCTGATGGTTCCTGAAGCCCTGCCAGAGGCTTCCTAGGGGAGCCAGAATTTGATCCTAGGAGCTGAATTTCTTTTGAAGTGACAAAGAAGATCTCAAACTTTAAAGAAAATTCTTAACTTGGCTCGGCACCTGTGGCTTAAGCTGCTAAGACGCCAGCCACATACACCTGAGCTGGTGGGTTTGAATCCAGCCTGGGCCTGCCAAACAGCAATGACGGCTGCAACCAAAAAATAGCTAGGCGTTGTGGCAGGCGCCTATAGTCCCAGTTTCTTGGGAGGTGGCAACAGGAGAATCGCTTGAGCCCAGGAGTTGGAGGTTGCTGTGAGCTGTGATGCTGCAGCAACCCAGGGGGACAGTAGGTGAAAGGTAGTGTGGGGTAGCATTGGAGCCTGTGCTGTGCTGGAATCTTTAATTTGCTCTTAATTGCCTGGAAAGTTTGGCTGGTCTGGCCCCTGAGAGCCTCTCCACCTTTGTCTTGCATCACGCCCGGATTTGTCTCTGTCTCCAAGTTCCAGCCACAATAGCCTCTCAGTTCCTCAAATGTAGTAGGCTGGCTTGTTGTCCAAGCCTTTGTGCATGCTGCCTCCTCCACCTTGAAATCTCTTCCTTCTTTGTTGGGCAAATGCTTGAGACTTTAGGTCTCAAGTTAAATGTCACTTCCTCTGGGAGGCCAGTCTTAGACTCCTTCCCAGGCTAATTCATAACACCTGCTACTTATCTTTAGCACTCAGAGAAATTGTAACTAATGTGTCATTTTTTTTTTTTTTTTGAGACAGAGCATCAAGCTGTCGCCCTGGGTAGAGTGCTGTGGCATCACAGCTCACAGCAACCTCCAGCTCCTGGGCTCAAGCGAGTCTCCTGCCTCTGCCTCCCAAGTAGCTGGGACCACAGGCACCTGCCACAACGCCCGGCTATTTTTTGGTTGCAGCCATCCTTGTTTGGTGGGCCCGGGCTGGATTTGAACCTGCCACCTTGGGTGTACATGGCTGATGCCTTAGCCACTTGAGCCATAGGCGCTGAGCCTAATGTGTCATTGTTTAGCACCACTCTTCCCTGCCAGTCTGTAAATCATGTCTGTCCAGATCATTGTTATACCCACATTATCCAGAATGGTGTCCAATAAATATTTCCAGGGCTGGGTGTGGTAGCTCATGTCTGTAATCCTAGCATTTTGAGATTCTGAGGTGGGTGGATTGCTTGAGTTCAGGAGTTTGAGACCAGCCTGAGCAAGAGCAAGACCTGATCTCTAAAAATAGCTGGGTGTTGTGGCGGGCACCTGTAGTCCCAGCTACTTGGGAGGCTGAGGCAAGAGATTAGCTTGAACCTAAGAGTTTGAGGTTGCTGTGAGCTAGGATGCCACAGCACTCAACCCCAAGGTGACTAAGTAAGACTCTGTCTCAAAAAAACCTTTTTTTTCTGGAATGAATAGTGAATCAGTGGGCCTTGTGGCTCAAGGGAGTATACTAGGAACTGGAAAGTGTGCTTTACATAGAAGGTCTTTAAAGAGAGGCAGTTTCCAGGAGGTAACTTTGGATTCCAGTTTGAATCCTGACTCTGCCTCCTAGGTGAGTATTGGGAATCTTTCATCTTTCTCTCTTAGTTGGGTTATAACAGTCACTATTTCTTCTAGTGATAAGACCCTTATGTATTATACATTTATTTATTTATTGGGCATTCCTCTCCCCGCTAGAATGTGAGCTCCATGAGGGTCAGGGACCTTGTCTGTTTTTTTTTTTGAGACAGAGTTTCACTTATTAACCCTCAGTAGAGTGCTGTAGTGTCACAGCTCACAGCAACCTCCAACTCCTTGGGCTTAGGCGATTCCCTTGCCTCAGCCTCCCATAGCTGGGACTACAGGCACCTGCTACAATGCCCAGCTTTTTTTTTGTTGCAGTTTGGCTGGGGCTGGGTTTGAACCCATCACTCTCAGTATATGGGGACAGCGCCCTACCCACTGAGCCACAGGTGCTGCCCGACCTTGTCTGTTTTATTTGTTGCTGAATCTCTAGCATCAGGAAATTATTTGGTACATAACAGGTAAAGATTTTCTGAGTAAAGGAATGAATGAGGCTGTGATGCCTGCAGCATGTTGTATTTAAAAGCTTCTAGCTAGCAGGGCACTGCTCCTTATCCTCATAGCATATTGCCCACACAGACTGGGCAGCATCCTCACCATGGGCAAGACTTATGGTGCAACAGCCAGTGTTCCTTGACTCATAATCATTTATTATTATGTCTTCTCACTGGTCTTTGTCTTCTAGAACACCAACTCATTTTGTGCACTGTGGCCAGATGGATACATCTTCTTAATCCACACATAAGATTCTACCTGTTCCCTGGTGAAAGACCTCATATGATTGATTCCCCAGTGTCCTTGGAGTCAAGTCCAAGCTCCTTGGCTTAGCTTCCATGGTCCTTGTCAACCTCTTCAGCTGTACCTTCCTCCTTGCTGGTTTCTGAGCTTCTGAATGTGTGGTACTCACTCTCTACTTGACCTCTTTTTCCTCCTGGTCTATTAGGTGAGTTCTTGCCTGTCTTCTGACCTTCAGCAGGAGTCACCTTTTCTCATAAATAATAGAAATAATTTGAGTCATTCTTTAAGCTGTGATCCTTCAGTGCATTCTTTCTTTTTTTTTTTTT